TTGGCGCCATTGCTGGAGAGAGGGACAGAGACTGACGCACATGATGGCAGTGAGCCATGATGCCAGCGCATCCGCTTCCTGGATCAGCCATGCCGAAGCTGTGTGCTAATAAATTCCCTTCGGTAGCTTCAGCTGGCTTGAGCTGGTCTTCGACCACTTGCAACTGAAAGAGTCCCGACTCACTCACGCAGTGAGTCAAAGCGTTTCTCTCTATTTCTATGGCAGAATTTTCAAAGGGTGATAAATATAAACAATTTGTTTCCAGCGGTTCCGCAGGTTTGCCTTTGGTCAAACCAGAGTTCAGCAGGAGAGCGCAGCAGGGGCCGGGGCGGGGGGAACGGGACTCCCCAACAGTCACCAGGCGGGGGACCCCGCCGTGGCTTTCCATTCTGCGGCAGGATGGGTGCTGCAGTGCCTGACTTCCGTCCCGTATTCCAAGCAGGCTGCTCCCTACCACTGTCACTCAGGGTCCCGGGGTTCTAAAGGTTCAGAGGGCCACGCGTCCACCCCTGCACAGTCACTGTGCCCAGGCGGATGGCATGTGCGCACTGGCCAGGCCTGGTCACATGGCCCAGGGACGGGGGCGGAGCAGTGTGTTCCAAGGGGAGGCGCAGATACTGATGCCAGAGCAAGAGAGGGGCCTTTGGGGGTCGCGTGTCCCCTGTCCCTGGCATTCCTGCAAAGCCCAGAGCCTCTGCTCTCTGGCTGCCTCCCCGTCAGCCTCGCCGGGACCCCGAACTTCACCGTCATCCTCTCCTGTCCCCACTCTGGGCTCTCGCCACTGCTGTCCCCCCACCCGGAGTGCCCTCGCAGCCCGTCCTTTGAATCAACACGCCCTCTCAGGCCTCGGTGTCCCCCCGTCTCCCCTTCAATCCTTGGGGCACCCCTGCCCCTTCCTCCGTGGTTTTCTGTGGCACCGCCTGTGCCGTCCCCACCTCCCCGCCCACATGGCTTGGCATCGGGGTTGTCTGTGGGTGAGTTTCTCTCTCCCCCACTGGGAACGGGCTTGGGCACCGTTGTCCCCACAGGGAGGAGGGCCGGGACCGCTGGTTATAGAGCACCCGCTGTGTAAAAGGCCAGAGCTGAGCTCTCAGGAGTCCACGTTGCCTTTACTTGTCCCGCCATCCTGTGACTTGGGTATAAACGATCCCATTTTGCAGATGAATAAACTGAGGCTCAAAGCAGCTTGGCAACTTGCTTGGCAGGTCACTCTGAGGGTCCATGCTGGAGGTGGGGCTGGAATCTAGGACTGCCTGATGCCAACGCCCAGCCAGTGCCTGGCCAAGTGTTGGCAGCTGTGCAGTTGAGTCGCCTTGGACACCCAGGACGCCCAGAGCCCGATTTGCAGCCCTGCCTCTGCACCCCTTGGACTGACCCCGGCGTCTCCCCCCAGGAAGGCTACACGGTGACCTGCGTCTTCTGGAAGGAGGGAGCCAGCGAGCGCCGCTGGGGGGCCTGGAGCTCCGAGGGCTGTCGTACAGAGCAGCCCTCACCTTCCCAGGTGCTCTGCCACTGCAACCACCTCACCTACTTTGCGGTTCTCATGGTATGCGCGCGCCCAGCCTGGGCGGGGGGGTGCGGGCCTGCGGACCGCCCCGTGTCTGTAGAAGAGGAGCAAGGCAAAAGCTGAGGCAAGGGCCGCAAAGTCCAACTCAGATGAGCTTGAGCAGCCCCAACCCCCAGAGAAAAACAAAAAAAGAAAAAAACACCTTATGGCCTCATGTTTCTGAAAAGGCTGGGTTGGGTTTCAGGCATGGCTTGATCCAGGAGCTCGATATCACTAAGATAGCCTCTATGCCTGTCCCTCAACTGTGCTTGCTCTGTGCTAGCTTAGCTCTCAGACGGGGTCTCCTTGTGGGACAAGAATATGGCTGCCAGCCGTTCCAGGCTCATGCCCTACTAGCTTTTAGGCCAGTGGAAGGAGAGCTTCTCTTGCCCAATTCTGCCAACCGCGCGTTCAGCCTGCATCAATAACTGTGGGCAGGAGAAGGGAGGGCTCTGATAGGCCAGGCCTGGTGCACCTGTCTGCACGCAGTGGTGGCCCTCCCCCGTGGGGCGCATGGAGAGTGGGGGAGGGGAGGCCATCATGCGGGAAGGGGGTGGCCAGTCGCCTTGTCTGCCTTGGCCTCGCTCAGGTCAGGACCGCAGCTGGGCTTGTGGGGGAGGGACTGGGGTGCGGGCGGCGGTCGCGGGGACTCAGGCTGGGGGGCGTCCCCGTGCTTCCTCCGCAGCAGCTCTCCCAGGCCCCGGTCCCCGCGGCGCTGCTGTTGCCCCTCACCTACGTGTCCCTCGTGGGCTGCGGCGTCTCCATCGCGGCCTCGCTGCTCACTGGCCTGCTGCACTTCC